GCTGCTGCTGTTGCTTCCTGTGCTGTTGCTAAGAGGTGCTTGTGATGTTGCTTCCGTCTCTCCTGCTGCTGCCACGGGTATGCTGCACTGCTCGCCATTGCTGCTGCTGCTGCTGCTGCTGCTGCTGCAGTTCGCGGGGCCTCCCCCCAGACGAAGTGACTCTGACTCTGCAGCTCTACGGGCCAGTCGTCAGGCGAGAGCCAGACCTAGACAAAGTGAGCACTATCAGCAGCAGCAGCAGCAGCAGCAGCAGCTGCTACAACAGCAGCGGCAGCTGCTGCAGCAGGAGCAGAAGCTGCAACAGCAGCATCTGCTGCTTCTGCAGAGGCAGAAGCAGCAACAGCAGCAGCTGTTGCTGCTTCTTGCAACAGCAGCATCTGCTGCTTCTGCAGAGGCAGAAGCAGCAACAGCAGCAGCTGCTGATGCTCCATCTGCACTAGTTGCAGCAGCAACTGCATCAGCCGTTGAAGTAGCGGCAGCAGCAGCAGTAGCTGCTGCTGCTGCTTCTGCTGCTGGTGTAGAGCGTGAAGTGCCAGTGCATGCAGCATTTTCGCCATCTCAAGGCTCTTCAACTCAAACCCTAGCTCCAAACCCTAATCCCTAAACCCTAAACCCTAAACCCTAGCGTGCGTTTGAGCAGGCCTGGGAAGTGCTGGCGCAGATGAAAACACTCGGCGTACATCCCACCCTCGTCAGATTCAATCAGGTCAGTTGCTGCTGTTGCTGCTGCTGCTGCTGCTGCTGTCCTCGCTGCTGCTGTTCGTGCCGGCGCAGCTGCTGCTGGCCCACTCGTTGCTGCTGCTGCAGCAGTTGCTGCGTGTTGCCTCCATCATCGCTGTGCGCGCAGCGGTAGCGCTCAGCTGCTGCTGCAGCTGTGTGTGCTGCTGCTGCTGCTGCTGCTGCTGCTGCAGCGGCTGCTGCTGTCCCTCAGCGAGCTGCACCGCCTCTCTGCGTGGCCGTGGGAAATGGACTTAAGAAAAATGCTGAGGGCTGCGTGGCTGGCAGCAGCTCTTTGCAGAAACAGAAGACAGCGGCAAATTCAAAGACACAACCAGCTGCTGCTGCAGCAGGTCAGCTAGCTGCTGCTGCTGCTGCTGCTCCTTTCGCTGCTGCTTGTCCTTTTAGGGATTTGTTGCAGCTGGATTTGCGCTGTGGAGGCCTCTTCGCCGCAGCAGAGTCACTCCCAGACACTCCTGTGATGCCCCCACTGCTGCTGCTGCTGCTGCTGCTGCTGCTGCTGCTGCTGCTGCTGCTGCTGTTTGTGCTGCAGGGCGTAGACAGCAGCGCCTTGCTGTCTATGCAAGACCTCAGGGCCCTCTGGGTTGGAGCTACAGTGGATCCGCTGCTGCCAGCAGCAGCTCGGCTCGTGCTGCTGGAGGAGCAGCAGCAGGGGAGGCCAGACGCGGAAGCAGCAGCAACTGCTGCTGCTGCTGCTGACCCCGCTGCTGCTGCGCAGCCAGTAGCACTGGCAGCAACAGCAGCATATGTTGCTGCATCGCTTTCAGACAGCACTTTGTTTGCACCCCAGCTAAGGTGTAAGTCCAGTCTCCCGCCGCTGCTGCCTTTCCTGCTGTTGCTGCTGCTGCTGCTGCTGCCGCTAGGACTGCGCCGTGGCTGCAAGGACCACGGAGGTTGCTGCTGCTGCTGCTCTGCTGCTGCTGTGCTGCTGCTGCAGCTGGGCGAGAGGGGCCGGGCTTCCTGGCCCTCTCCGGCTGCAGCGGCAGAGACACAAAGACACCCTGGATGCAGCTGCTGGCGGGAGAACTCAGCAGCAGTGTGGGGCCCCACACCTCGACTTTGCGCAGCCCCGGCTGGGACTACTACTGCAGCACGCCGGGGGCCTCGAGGCGTGTCTTGCGGGAAGCAGCAGCAGCAGCGCGAGCAGCAGCAACTCCCGCAGCGGCAGCAGCTGCAGCAGCAGCAACAGCACGAGCTGCAGAAGCAGCACACAAGCCGAGCGAGATGCAAAGCCCTGCTGCAGCGCCGTCGCCAGCAGCGACAGAAGAACCTCCGGCGTCCGCAAAACCAACCGCAGCAACAGCAGCAGCAGCTCCAGCAGCAGCAGCAACAGCAGCTGCAGCAGCAGCAGCAGCAGCAGAGACCATGCCCATGAAGGGTTTGTGGAGATCATCAGGTTTTAAATTTTCTCGGGGCCGTCTGCGTCTCACTCGGAAAAGCAAGCCGTCAGATGTCCCAGAATGAACAGCAGCAGCAGCAGCAGCAGCAAACGCGGCAGCAACGGCAGCAGCTGTTGCCGCTGCTGCTGTTGCAGAGAGGCCGCAGCAGGATCGCGTGAGTTTGCAGCACCGGGCAGCTCTGAGGCTACAGAAAGCAGCAGCAGCAGACACCGGAGAGCCAGCTAGCAGCAGCCAGAAGGGCAGCAGCAGCAAATAATTATCAAATAAAAGAAATTGAAAATTGAATTCATCAAATGCAGCCTCAAATATATCAAATACAGAAGCAGCTGCCTGCTGCACTTGGGCCCCGCAAAAGGGGCCCCGGGGCCCCTAGGGGGCCCGCCCCCCTGCAGCAGCTGCAGGGGGGCCCCTAGGGTCCCTAGGGGGGCCCCAAGGGCCCCTGGGGGCCCCCGTCTAGCCTCTTCAGTGGCCCCCAGCTGCAGGGGGGCCCCTAGGGGCCCCCCCGCAGCAGCTGCAGGGGGGCCCCTAGAGCTCCCGGGGATCCGTAGGGCCCCTTTTAGGGGCCCCCACCGCAGCCCTAGGGGCCCCCCTGCAGCAGCTCCCCCAAGACACTGAGTGCCTTGGGGGGCCCCGGGGACTCCTAGGGGGCCCTAAGGGGTCCCCAGCTGCCGTGGAGGCCCCCCGGGGGGACCCACAGAGGCTCGGGCTAACAGGGGCCCCCAGCTAGGGGCTTCCTGGGG